ACTTGTCAGAGAAATTGAGTGCATTAATCTATTTAGAAAAGAAACCTTTAATAATAGAAAGAGTTAAAAATCTAGTCCAGGTTCCTCTTTGGCTAATTCTGAATAAGACACATATTTTTTGTGTGTGGTATTAAGTTTACTTAACAGTAAAATATGTAGAATACCAGCCCAATCAAATCTATAGTAGTATAGAATATTAGTTAGATCAACTTTTCAAAATTATGTGTAATCTATGTAACATGATTAAAATATCAGGCATTTAAAATCCAACTATTATGAAAAATTTTAAATTATTTGTTTTTAAATGGTTTAAGTACAATCTATTATTGTATAGCATTATACTATTACAAAGTAAGTTTCTATGACATGTTAAAGGAAGACTCAATTTAAGTCGACTTTAATATTATATATAATATCATTTGAATTGAATTTTGGTTTTGGTTTTGGTTTTTTGGTTTTTTGAGACAGGGTCTCACTATGTTGTTGAGACTACCTGGAACTCACTATGTAGGGCAGGCTGGTCTCAAACTCAGTGATCCTCCTGCCTCAGCCTCCCAAGGGCTGGGATTACAGGCATGTGCCACCATGCCTGGCTTGAATTGAATTTTGATTAAAAAGTCTAAAAAATGCTTTTTCTTGTTCATTTATTGTATCATTATTGCAAAAAATGTTCTGTTCTCAAATAAAGAGATAATCTGACTTCTTAAATAGAAAAGAAAGCAAAATTACATTATTGGCACCAGACTCCATTTATCAATTAAATATAATACACTAAGAATCACATTTTAGATTATATGATTTGACATTTGAGGTATATATTTGAGAGTATGAGGTAAATTAGTAATTCAAAATTCAATTTAGGACATGACATTACATTAATTATTAAGATTAATGCTTAAACTTTCTAGCTATCATATTACTTATCACAATAAATACAATAAAATTGCAACAAAAACAATGAACAAATTAATGATGAAAAATTAATGTTATGAAAGTCAATATACTGTTGAATAAGGACAAATGCAATGTTATTTGTGAAGGCTTTGTGAAATTATAGACATTTAAATAATTGATAAAAACAAATAAATTAACATTTATAACAAAGCTATAAGATTATTAATAATTAACAGATAATTTGAATAAATAAACTCTGACTCTTAAAATAGGAGTGAAATGAGAAAAGATTTCAACAGAGGTGGTAACAAAGCTTAAATAATGGCATCAGATGTTTTAGTAGTTGTAGATTTATTATAATATATCAATTATTTAATAAATATATATTCATGATACACATCAAAAATTAAATGTCCTGTAAAAATGAAAAAAATAAGAATCATTAGTAGTTTCACATTAGTTTTTTTTCCAAGAAGTATACAAAAGTCCATTGCCTTTAGAAGGCATTCTGCTGAGAGCAAGTTAAAATAATGAAAGAAGAGTCAGGTCCTATTTCAAGCTTTCAGATTTTATAATAAAATTTCTAATAACATTTTCAAATTAAAATGAATTTCATTAATTTGTTTCTAATGACCAGAGAAAATCCTGAATACTTTGAATCAAACTCTAAAGTACTATTAATTTTAATTAATAGTGTCTTCTTTCTCTATTTTTTGTTTGTTTGTTTGTTTGTTTGAGATAGAGTTTCACTATGTATTTCAGACTGCTCTGAAACTCACTATGTAGCCCAGGTTGGTCTGGAACTCACAGCGATCCTCCTGCTTCAGCCTTCTGAGTGCTGGGATTACAGGTGTGCACCACCATGCCTGGCTAATTAGTAGTGTCTTCTAATTTCAACAAATTTCAGATTATAGAGAAATTAGTGAAAAATATTTTCTGTAAATTTTAAGGTACAAAACCTTATTAAAGTAAGCCCTAGAATATTTGTTGATTTATGGCCTTTTATGCTATACATATTTATATCGAGGTAAAATTATGTGAATATCCAATACTTTATTTAACAACTATTTTTAATTCTCTTCTACATGCCAGAAATTAAAGCACTATCTGGCTATATTATATTTTTTATTAATTAATTTTATTGGTACATTTTAGGTATACAATATAATGACATTCTCATGGGAAATTTGCACCTTTACATAATCTATCTTTTTTAAATTTTTCCCCATTCCTCTGCCCTCCCTTTAACCCCTCCATCCCACCCATTTAAAAAACTTTGTTTCCATTTTTTTTATTTTCTCATATTAATTCCAGTTTCTCTAGTGTGAAAAACTGAAAGTGTACATACGGACTAACAGATATAACAGATAACATAAAGTAGGAAAGAAAGGGGGCAAAATAAAGGGGAAATGGGCAGGGTAGGGGAAAGGAAGAAGGGAATGGTTATATTACTTTTAACCCCCACTAAAAATGCAAGGATAATTTGAGCACTGTTCATGAAGCAAAAAATCCTTGAGTACTATGTGAATAGCTGCTCTGTGTGTGTGTGTGTGTGTGTGTGTGTGTGTGTGAGAGAGCGAGAGAGAGAGAGAGAGAGAGAGAGAGAGAGAGAGAGAGATAGTTGGGCTTCAATTCAGGGCCTGAATAGATGCTAGGCATGCTAAGATACATTCTAGGCCTTATAAATTTATTTTGAGAGCAGGACTCACAGAACAGCCTAGGCTGACCCCAAACTTGTAATCCTCCTGCTTCTGTCTCCCAAGTATTAGGATAACTTCCATGAACCACCACACCTCACAAAGGAGTGCATTTCATTGTCACCTGACACCTACAGAATTTCTTCCTAAATTTACTCTGAGCTTCTTATTACTCTTGTCCTTGTTGCATCGCAATTTTTGGCAGTGACTGCAGTGAGGTAAAGAGAGGATTTTTCAGTCCATTAATTTACAGTTGAGCCTCTATTTTTCTTTTATCACGATAGCCTCCATTTTCTTAAAAAAGAAATAGATGGAATTTCTTCCATTGGCTAAAATCAGCCTTTTGGCTGAAATTAAATATAAAAATAAAATGAATGAAATACTGTCTATAATTTAGGCTTGTGCGGAATACATTATTTTTCTTAGAGAATATACAAAACGCCCAAACTAAACATAAATATTTTAGTGATAAATTTGTTTTTTAAGGAACAAAGCATATCAGCAGCCAATTCAAATACTTAGAGATGAAAATAGTGCTTTGATTTTTTTTCATTAAGTTTATGCAACTGTGAAAAATCCTAAGAGAATGCAATATAGCGTCACCCAGAACTAATGTGACTGCTTAAATCATGCATGTGAAAATATGCAGAACTTTCGCATTGAATAAGACAACCATCAAACTTCATTACATATTCTGTGATTTTAGGAGGAAGAGGTAAAAAGAAAGAAGATTTGCTATTTTTCTGCTAGTAACAAATACCCTTACGATACAAGGACTCCATGTTAACAGTTATTAGCAAAGAAGCACATAAATAT